AGACTTGTCTGGTGGTTTCTGAACATTTTCTGTGGGTCCCCACTGGAAGATGCTTCAGACTTGGGAAAGGATTTTGGGCCTTGCTCTGGGCTGATCCTGCTTGGGTGGACTTTTACCCACGAGGGGACGGGTAACTTTGGGTGCTTGATTTAGAAACTAGATTCTTTGCCTTTCCTGTATTGTTTCCTAATTGTATTAAAGTTCCTTCCCATTAAAGTCTTATATGTTTTGTTGATGCGGCGGATGGCAGAACCTATTCAGGGCAGGCAGGTTTGTGGGGTCTGGGCTGCCCCTCTCCCTGCCCTGTAACAATCAGAGCTCACTTGTCATCAAATTGCTTGAGATAAAAGTTATCTCCTTACCCATATGAAATATAAACCTCTTTTGTTTGTTTGGATGTCAATAATCATGAAACTGGGTTTTTTTTTAGCTCCTCAGACCCCAGATGTGGTGTCGAGACTTGTGGGAAAGGGGCAGCTTTTTTTTTTATAATTTTTAAAAATTTATTTTTATTTATACAAGAACCGGGGTACAGGCCAGATGTGCGGGAGGGTGAGAGGATTCACCAGAGACAGAGCAGGGAACAGAACAGGCAGACTGACAAAATACACTGCTGAGGGGAGCAGCGTGTGGCAGGAGAGGTCTGCCGCGCCATGTGGGACCCTCACCGGCCGGCCAGCCGGGATCAAACCAGTGCTGCAGAGGCTGTGGACAGCTTCATAGCGCTGCGCTCAACTGCCTGCACCACCAGGGGAGGCTTGGTTTTCAGAGAAATTTTCAAAGTCACAAAGTGTAAGAGAAGATGACAAGTGCTATTTAATTACCGCAACAGTAAAGAGACTTAAAATACATTGTTTTTTCTTTTCCCTGTGAAAAGCTGTTTCTGGTTCTACCAATACTTTTAGAAGGAACAGTGTAATTTCTGGTATTTGAAATAATAGTGATGGTAAAAATAACAAGGCTTCTAACAATCTCAAAACCTAAACAGAAAAGGAAACTTTGTTTATATATCAAGCCCAGTAAATCAAAACAAAGGAATTCGAGTTACAATCAGTAATGAGATATTTTCAACTATGCCTGCAGATCACAGCAAAGCTACAGTTTATTATTAATCTAGTAGTTTATCTATATTAATGTTAACTTCTTTTACTTTGAAATTATTTTCTTTTTCTTATTTTGTGTGGAAGGACAAAACAAACAAGTAGCTATGTCGTTTGACTTTAAGTTATAAATCCATGTCTTGACAAATTTCGGAAAGGCAGGATTTAAGATTGAATTTTGGGATAGAAACTAAATATTGTAATAGGTACGTCATAGAGTACATCTAAAGCTAAATTTGAAGGTATTAATGTGACCTCATGAATGTAAAAGAGATTCTTTTCTAGCTCTACCCCTAGGCAGCCCAGCTCTAGTTACCCAACACTAGACTCGAGATGGTCTATTCTGCATCCCCATGTCTAACTTTTACATCTTAGTACAGTATATGATGCTATGTTATAATTAATTATGTGTGAACAAACCATCATGAAATGCTCAAGCTTAGAACAATTTACTATTACCTCTCAGTCCTGAAGGTTGAGGTGATCCACTTAGTTGTCTTATCAGGTTACAAACAGTCAGGGGGCCTCCCTGGTGGTGCAGGTGGATGAGCACAGCACTGTGAAGCTCTCCACAGCCTCTGCAGTGCCGGCTCCATGCCCACTGGCCTTGGAGCAACTCACATGGTGAGAGGACCTCTCCCTTCTCGCCCACTGCTCCCCTCAGCAATGTATTTTGTCAGTCTGTCTATTCTGTCCCCCCCCCCTCCCCCCCGTCTCTCTGGTGAATCCTCTCACCCTCCTGTGCATCTGGCCTGTACCCTGGCTCTTGTATAAATAAAAAAATAAATCTTTAAAAAAAAACCAAACAACAACAACAAAAAAAAAACAGGAGGTCGCTGGGGCGGAGGGCATTGTCTGGCATCCAGTGTGGGACAACTGGGAGCTGGCTGCACATCTCCCTCTCCATGTGACTTCTTCAAGTGCTTAGCTTGGGCTTCCTTACAAGATGGGGGTCTTAGGTAATTAGACTTCTTAGATGGTAGCAGGCTTGGTCCAGAGTAAGCGTAAAAGAGAAGCTGCAGAACTTATGACAATCTCAGAGGCCTTCAATATTGCTTCCTCTGCGCTGTATTGGTTAAAGCGTGACAAATTAGTTCAGAGTCCAGGAGGTGGAAGAATCACCTCCACCTCTCATTCTACAAAGAGGGAAGAAATGGATGGGTTTTCAAAGTATGCTTTGATGATATGAATTCGTTCATGGCAATTAGGGAGGGTCAGTCTAACCTAGAAATCAAGCTCAATCACATGAGATTTTTTTTCAAGGCAAGGAGAACCAGAAGAGCAGGAGAATTATAACCTTCAGCAGGAAAAAAGAAATCCCTATTGTACTGGAAGCAGGATTTATTTAGATGTGTTTTAAGAAAATCAAAAATATGTACTTGTTTCAGACTTTCTGGGGAGACCCCAAGAGGTACATTCCAGTTTTTGTGCCAGTCTTGCTACTGTGCCCAGGAAGAACCTGTTTTGGAGCTCTTCTGCCTGCACTATCTGGCACCCCAAACTCTGCACTAATCTGTAGCATTTCTACTTGATGGTTTGTGGGAATTTTAATATCTGTTGTCATAGCCTCTAGCCATGCCCGGCTGCCTGACTGGGTCAGCCAAGGTGATTTCCAAGGAGAGAAATGGTTGTTTTTCTCAGAGCTCTCACCACAAGGTCACCTATCTTTTGAGTGGTCTCTCCAACTTTATTTATTCCCCAAGGCTTTTAAGGTATGATTTTGCAGAATGTGAGGTTTTTCACTGCTGCAAATTTCACATCACAGCAGAAAAACCCTAAATTATTGATTCTCCACTAATAAATGTATTTATTCAAATCAGAAAAGATGTTATTCATGTTTAGCTATATGCATAGCTTCAGGGTTGTAGATAAATAACACGAGGGCAGATGAAATACATGCCAGTAAGAAACTGAAAGATTTATGCCCGGGTTTGGAGTATCCTTGTCTATCATGGTCACTGAGTTACATTCATTATATGCTAAATTATGAATTTATATACGACCCCACTTTGCAGAGGGGCCTGCAATATCTTAAAATTCAGCAGCACATTCATTGCCCACATTACCTAGAATTTTCAGGTAATAATAAAACAGTAAAGTAGAAGTTTGAAGAATGTAAACTAGCTAAAGTTTGTGCAAAATCTAGGGACAGGTAACCAGAAGTCTTGTCCTTAAAACTCATGAATATGAGATTTTCAGGCAATGGAAAGATGGTATTTTCTCCCCTCATTAGTGGACAGGCTGGCAAGAGCACCTGTTTTAATCCGTGGCCTGACAGGGACATCGGTTGACTTATAAATCTAGTGCAAAGCCCTAATGAAACTAATCAAAACTTCTCATTCATGATCTATATAGACTTCTCCCCCTTCCACCTCCATCTCCCTTGGCTCTGAGAGCAAGTCAAAGAAAACCTGTGGCTTTGAATGGAGTGAATTTTGTCTTTTAAATAGACTGACAGTGTGCAAACACCTATTTGCTCACATTTATTCCCTGTTTGGTGATTCTAGCAGTTACTCCTAGATACTTGATTTTATCCATTCTGGAGGAAAGTTTTGTCAGCTTGATCCACAATGAATTGATTGCATCTGAAGAGTTTGTAGAAGCTACCATTAAAAAGAAAATTCATTTATAGCACTTGGTCCTCTTCAAGAAGTATAAGGGTTTTTTTTTTTTTTCCCCCAGTTTTATTGAGTTATAGCTGGCATATAGCACTGTGTAAGTTTCAGGTGTATAGTATAAGGACAAATGAAAAAGAATAAGGTTTTAGTGTTTCATGTTTTGGTTTTGCAGCCATTGTTATATGGTTTTGGACCAATTTTTAATAGTTTTAGAAACATATAACTGTAAATTATACCAGGATTTTTTCAAATGTTTCTTAAATGACGATTTGCCAGTATAGAAATGTTAGGCTGATAAGTTGGTACTCTGCTAAAGAAATGCAGAAAGCTTTATCTTAATGAGAAGTGAGACGCATTTGAAAGGTCCTTTGTGGGGCCTCCCTGGTGGCGCAGGGGTTGAGCGCTGGGTTGCAAAGCCACCCGCAGCCTCTGCAGCCCGGTTCGGTTTGATCCTTGGCTGCTCCCGGCCCCCGGAGGAGGGTCCCACATGGTGCGCAGACCTCTCCTGCCGCCCGCTGCTCCCCTCAGCAGTGTACTTCGATCCTTCTGCCTGTTCTGCTCCCCGCTCTGGCTCTGGTGAATTCTCTCACCCTCCCGCACTTCTGACTGTACCCAGTGCTTGTATAATAAAAATAAATAAATAAATAATCTTAAAAAAAAAAAGAAAGGTCCATTGTGTACTAATAGAACTAGCAACATAATTGAAATAAATGAAACTAAAACAGAGGGAAATTGGGGTAAAGGAATCTATGGAGCTTAGTAGCTTAAAGTTGGAAGCAGTGTGGAGGCAGACCCCAAGGTGACAGTACTTGGAGATGAAAGGCCTCAAGTTTCACTCGTCAAGCAACTAAAAGTCAAGCTTACAGCAGACACAATGAAATAAGGGAAGGATCTATGTAGATTTGGGCAAGTAGGTTTGAGACTGTGGGTCTGGAGTTTGGGAGAGAGGTTGGGCCTTTTCATTGCAAACCTGGTCATCATGTATGTGGAGCTGGTTATGAAGCAGTTGGTCCATGGAGAGTGGTAAGGGTGACCTCAAGAAAGGCTGGGAACAGACCCTTGAGAAATGTACTTGATGAGTACAGAGGAAAAGTGTCAGGAAGGAAAAGGAAAAAATGTCAGAGAAGTGGTAGTATAAAGACAAGGATGTAGCTCCTGACAGCCTAGATTGGAAAGTCACACAAAGGATTAGGGTAGAGTACATTTTTCTTTTACAAAAAATGTCACTTCTCCTTTGGAGAGCTGATTTTTAATTTACATTTTATTCTAGAAAATGGTCCTTTTTTCAACATAACATTAAAAAAAATTTAATTGCTTTGAGTCCCTCAATTTTGCATGATCAATCCCAAAAAATTGTGCTGGTCTTTGGGCAGAATTTGTTAAAGTCTTTTTAATGGTTCCATCAAAGTGCTTCAGCCTGTACTGAAATAGTTACTTGACTTCCCCTTGATTTCAAGTTGAGTGTTGTTGTCTTTTTAGTAGTAGAGCTGGTCACCACGTAGAGAGCCAGTTCCTATCAGGTGCTTTGGGTCTGCATTTGAATATAAAAATCAGAATTACCTTTCTCTAATGACAACCTCTTGTTCTCTGATTATTTACTCCCATTTCTTTCACTGAAGTGCTCTTGTGTTCTTCGTGAACTGGATTTATTTGGGAATTCTTGCAATGATGGTACCTGACTCTTAGAGCCATCTTCAAAATATTCTCCCCTGCTCTTTCACACTGAAAAGTAGGTCTATCACCACAGGTCTGCAACAACTGTATTTGTCCTACAACCATTTTGGTCTCACAGTCCTCAAGAGGCTACACAAGTCTCTCATTTACATAAGTGTCCCATGGGTTGGAATTCATTTTGCCTCTTCTGGAATCTTGTGAGGGTTGTAATACCATTTGAGTGTCTGTTCTCTGGATGGAAGATTCATGTTCATGGACTGAGTCTATTCCACTGCAGTCACTCTTAGGATCTAAGGGAATTTTGGCGGAACATGGTGGTGGTGTTTGTGGTGAAATATCCACATTTGAAGACATGAAATCTTTAAGGGAGTATTGCCACTCCATTGCCTGGGGTTGAAGAGCTGTGACATAGTCGTAAGTGGACATGCCTGGGATTTCATCACTGACAGGGCTATTGCCCTGTGATCTTGACAAAGTCGATGTATCCTCAGATTTATTGGTGTTAGAAGTACTTTCCACATAAGTCTTATACATACCAGAGTGTGGACCAGAAATGAGAGGTTTTTCAAAATGATCTTCCTGAGTCTCACATTCCCCCGGAATCTTCTGGGCAGTGATATCCTCACCACCCTCTAAGGACCTGACACTGTCCTTCCTCACCCCTAAGTCTTTGTTCTCTGGGGGCTCACTAGCCCCACAGCTATCCTCACCGTACGCCTCTTCTCCAGTCCCATTTCTTGCATCTTCTGAATTTCCAGAACTTAGAGTAAATAAAGACCCTTCATCAGAATCATCGTTGATGTCCAATTCATACTGCGTGTCAGAAGGAGCATGTTTCTGGCCTGCTCCTCTATTAGCAGGAGTGACATCCATGTCACTCTTCCATCCTGAAGGACAGACAGGTGAGGGTGGGTCTGTATCTCCTTGGCCACAGAGTGTGACTGCATTGCAGCAGATTGAAGGCTCTTGCTCAGCACTGGTCCTCTTGGGCATTTGCTGCTGTAAATCCAGCCAATTCATGTAAGTGCTTGTTTGCATTTCCTTAGAAAGCTCCAAAGGTGAGATTTGGGTGCCACGTCTTGTCTGGGCCTCTCCAGTGCTCTGTGCTTTGGTTTGTGCTAGCATTGGAGAAAGAGAAGCTGTCTTGTCTCTTGAGAGTGTTGGGTCTAATTCATTTGAAATGTTAGGGATGGAGCCAGACACAGTTTGTAAACAATCAGGGACGTGCAGTGAGTGCTCACTGAGAAAATTATCCTGGGGCACAGTATCATACTGAACTTCTTCAATAACATTCCTGTAGATGTGGTCCTGTGCTGCTGACATCAGTGCATTATTATGAGTGTTTGCTTGTGCGCCAAGAACAGCAGGGGCTGCACTGTCCTCTGGAAACTTGTCAGGACTTCCCCTCCATGCCCCAGTGTGGGCCCCACATGGTTCCCTGCTCTGCTGGCTGCCAGGTGCCTTCCCACTTGTTGCCAGGGCTGTATCAGGAAGGACAACTGCACCTAGGATGGCCTCTGTTCTCAGGAAAGTGTTTTGGTTCTCATGGAGGTTTAGGTCATGGAAACCTTGGTGCGCATCTATATTTGGGTGCCACTGGATGTTCCTTGCAGCTTCAACTTCATCATCGAAGCCTTCATTTGAATGCGCATGAACAGAATGGGGTCTTTTGTTCTGGCATCTCTGTTGCCACAGTCTATCAATGAAAGGCCTTGTAAAAGCCCCCAGGCAGAAAGCCACAAAGAAGGTGATGAACACTGCCAGGCAGACAGCCAGGGCAAGGTCCTGGGCCGGGGCTTCCTTGCTGCCAGGAGGTTGCACATCCCCGGCGCTCCTAACTCGTCTTGACAGCCACCTCTGCTTCTCTCTGGTACCCGCACTGGCATGTTCCTCGTTCCGCAGGGTGGGAAAGCGCACATGAACTTCTTCCCAGGGCTGCTCAGCTTCGCTCTGTATGAAGCGATCCGCGTGATTCCACTGAACTCGAGGAAGGTGGGTCTCTCTGGAAATTCTCCTTTTTGGCGTCCACCAATATGTCTCCTCATTGTCTGAAGGTGAGGGATAAAAACATTCATTGAGGGCCTACCTGGTGGTGCAAGAGGTTAAGCACTGCACTATGAAGCTGTCTGCAGCCTCTGCAGCACGAGTTTGATCCCCAGCCAGCCAGGGAGCTACCCACATGGTGCAGCAGACCTCTCCTGACTCACCTGCTGCTCCCCTCAGCAGTGTATTTCAGTAGACCTGCCTGTTCTGCTCCCCACTCTCTCTGGTGAATCCTTTCACCCCCCACACCTCTGGCCTGTACCCCAGCTCTTGTATGCATAAATAAATAAATCTTTAAAACAACATTTAAAAAAAAAGGAAGTAACTTCCCTCTTTATGAAAAAAAATTCATTGAGTGGACATTGAAATAAGATTCCATGGGGTTTTCAAAGCGTCTGTGAATCCTCCGCACTCCTTATCAGGTGGTGATAAAGTGCACATATTCAGTGGGGTCTCATGGCTTAATTGATGTCTGATACCAAGCATAAGTGCAGGGCTCCGCGTGCACAGACACACGGCTGCAGTGTTAGGTTTGCAGCGGAGGGTCCAGAAAATTGTGTTTTTCAGGTTTCTTGCCTTACTGCTGCTCGTGGGAGGAAAGAAACCAGATGGAGGGACAGACACATGCTTCTCCTTCCATATCCTCGCCTGCTGCATGTTTGCCAGAACATTCCATCAACCTCAGGCAAAGTCTGCCTAAGTCCTTCCCATGTTTGCCATACTATTTCCTCACCTTTCCCCAGTGCTGGCAAACAGCAGAAACATTCAGGTTTTTCCACTGGTTCCTGACATTCAGAAGGCTGGGCATAGCTTATAGACCAATGAAGCAAGTGTGGGGTGGGCACCAAGACTGTCCTCTGTGCCTCATGCAACTCTTCTCAACCTTGCACTTGGGACACATTTCTACTTCAATGGCATCCTGAAGAGAACAGTGTCCCGGACTTGTTAAAAAAAGAAATCTGGCACTCCTACCCCTTCCCCAGGTTAGTTTTGTGATTTAGCCAAGAGAATTAATAGTGGAAAAAAAGCTTACCAGAGTGTTTGACTCTAGTAATATATTCTAGCACTGGAAAGAGTGGCAGGGTTCCAAAGAAAAATATACTTTTGAAATACGCGTGTTTTGTATATGGGTAGGATTATACTTTTAGAGGGTTAGCAAACATTTAAAATAATTATGCTTGGGGGGGCCTCCCTGGTGGCGTAAGAGGTTGAGTCTCAGCACTATGAAGCTATTGTAGCCTCTGCAGCACAAGTTCGTTGCCCGGGCGAACCAGGAGAAACCCACATGGCTCAGCAGACTTCTCCTGTCTCGCCTGCTGCCCTCCTCAGTGTATTTCAGTAGATCCACCTATTCTGCTCCCCGCTCTGTCTCTTATGAATCCTCTCACCGCCCCCTACACCTCTGGCCTGTACCCCAGTTCATGTATGCATAAATAAGTAAATCTTAAAAGAAAAAAATAATTATGCTTCAAGTTTTAAAGTTCTTTCTTTGCTCGATTATTTGTTAAGGACTGGGATTTAAAATAAGACATTTTTTGGGCCTCCCCAGGTGGCGCAGTGGTTGAGCACTGGACTGCGAGGCAGCCCGCAGCCTCTGCAGTGCCAGTTCGTTCCCCGGCCGCCGGTGAGGGTCCCACAAAAAAAAAAAAAAAAAAGACATTTTGGGAGTTTTAGAGCAAAATCCACTCCTCACAACATTTCTGGTTTTGACCAAGTCCAGTGGTTTCTGAACTATTTGGAGTAGGTTTCTTTGACCACGTGAAGAAAATTGTTCATGAAGGGAGGAAAACAGGTAGGTACTGAACACTGTTCTGGATATAGCCCAAGGCTAATCAATAGCTTATGTTTCAAATGAAACATCCTTTCAGGTGAGACTAAATTTTTCCTACGCTTTTTCTTTTTAGCTTAACAGAAATCATTCTAGACAAAAGAGGTATTACTGACTTACTTATAGATTTGTTGCAAATTATATCCCACTTTAGCCTCCAAGATTCAGAAATGAAATTTTGGAAGACAGCGACATGGCAGCCACACCGCCACTGGGTCCCAGCCAGGTTGGCCTGCAGATTGGGCAGTGCTAGAGCCATGGTCACCATGGGAAGGACGGCGGTCAGCTCGTTGTTGCTGAGGCCCACGACCTGCTTGAGAAGAGCCAAATTCAGGACATCTGTGAATAAGGACATTTAAAAGCAAAATAAAGAAGCTACAGGTACTGTTCACATCTCTGTGGGAGCAATAGGAGCTGAGCACTGATTTGAGACCCAGGGGATATTGGGTTTAAACCTTTGTTGTATCCCTAACTCCTCTGTGAGCCTTAGCAAAGTACTTCCTCTCTATGAGCCCACCCCCCAGGGTTGCTGTAAGGATTCAGTACAGGAGGACCTTTAACTCTGGCGCCTTTTTAGATGCTCATTTTCCCTTCCTTCTTTTCTCGGAGTTGCAATTTGTACAGGTAGTTAAAACCTAGACTTTCTGTTGTTATCATAGTCCAGAATTAGATATCTAATCTAGATCCTGAAAGTGGCATAAAATACTGGAGGATGTGGACATAGGATAGAGAAGTCAACTGTGGATGACCAGAAATAGCAAAGAGAGATCTTTTGCATCAATTATTATCTCGAGTTGTAGAGTGTCTCTCTGTAACTGTGGATATTCACTACACATAAATGACACATGGGAAGATGCATTACATACTACAAGTATTAAATAACATCTGAAAAAAAACCCCAGTAATATCTGTTTTAATACTCAGCTTTCTGGTACCAAATGTGTTCATTAAGTGCCAAAACCAGATTTTAGAGTTACTGGCAAACATGTAGAAGAGACAGTAGAGTAGAAATTGTGTAATCGTGGGCAGTTTAGGTGAATTGAGGATTGTAGATGAGATAAGACTTCCTTGGGGTAAGATTTTAGTATGTCCGTAGCATATATCACCTGTGAGCCTCGGAAGACTTATAAAGTAATACTTACAAAATAATAAATATGCAGAGAAAATAAAATAGACATTAAGCAATTACATAAACAAATATAATCAGCATACAATATATAATACTTATAATCAGTATGCAATATACTAACTGCGGGCGCACTGCCAGGTGAAGTGGACTTTCTTATCTGCTCTGGTAACCACCATGACAGACAGACTCCAATGGTCCTGCTTTCAGATATTCACACCTTTGAGTAATCCCTTTCCCTTAAGTGTGGTCAGGATCTGTGACTTGTTTCTAAGCAGAGTATGGCAAAAATAATCACTCCCATAGCTTTATTATATAAGATGGTGACACTCTCCCTCTCTTTCAGCTTTGAAGAGATTTGTTAAGAGGCGCACATAGCCCAGGCCTCAGGGCAGGCCTTGGCCAACAGTCAGTAAGAAACCAAGCTCTCATTCCAATAAGAAACTGAATCTTGCCAACAACCCAGGAGCCTGGAAGTGGATCCTTCTACAACTGGACCTTCAGGTGAGACCCCAGCTGTGGTCAACACCTCGACAGCAGCCTCTTGAGAGACCCTTGGTAATTTCTTGCCAACTGGCAAGTGAAAACTTGGAGTTGGGTTTAATTTGATTTAGAAAAAAAAGTGCCATTTCTTGCTGCTGACTATTATGTTTGAGTTAAATTCAAGTCTATTACTGAAGCTTTTGATTTTGAGGCAAGAGAGAGACTTCAGATCTTTTAGGGGGCTGTTAAACAGACTTTTTTTTGGACTAGTAGCCAGTACTACCAGACCTGAAAGTCTCAATGGAAATATTCCTCTAATGTAACTGCCCCTATGTCTGCATATTTGAAAAGTTATTGTATAACCTGTAGTTTTTTGAGCCTCTTGAAGACTTGTGGATGAATTCTGAATTGCTTGTTTCTCTTTAAATGGAGGCTGTCCAGGTGCAGGCAGTTATGAACATCAGCCAAACTGATCTGCAATATCCCATTGAATGATAGATCCAAAGTCTGCAATGACTTCAGTTTCCATAGTCCTGTTAATATTAAAGAGTAAGTTAAAATATAAACTGATAATATTTATTGCAGCACTTTTTTTTTTTTTAACCGCATTGAAAAGCTGGACACAACCTAAATGATCCTCAATAGAGAAATGGTTAAACAAAGTATGGTCTATCAATATGACAAAATACCATGTAGTCATAGAAGAGAAAGGGGTAGATGAACATTAACTGACTGAACAGAGAGGAAAATGTTAAATTGCAGAACAGTACAGAGTGTAAATCCAAAGTTACCAGAATAAAAGAACCTCACACAACCATACATATTTTAAGTGAGCAAAAAAAAAAAAAAAAAAAGAGCTTGCAGGGGATGAGTTAAACCATTTCCTTCCTCCTTACACTTAGGAAGAGGAGGGTTGAGGGAGGTAGGTTGGGGTCAAGAAAGAAACTTTGTTTTGATTTTATATACTTTTGAATTATTTCTTTCAATGAGCATGTGCTAATTTTGTAACAAAAACACCAATTAAAACATAACTTTGAAGGAGGTGATAAATATTTATTTGATGGTAAAACTATGGTAAAACTGGGCAGTTGTTCTATTCATATATTTCATAGATGAATACTTGAAGTTTTAAGATGTTCTTATTTTATAGCTATATCCTTTCTTTTAACTACTTATTGTTGATATTACAATTATTTTCTAGGTAATCTGGTATCTTTCAAAGCTAGTAAGGTTACAGCTAGATTGTAATCAAATTTTAGTCTCTGTCTTTGTGTTTCATTGAGTCCAGAGAGTAACTAGGAGACCCATTTGGCACGGAAAATAAAGATTGAGAATAAGGCGTCAGTTGTAGCAATCTTCCAAATTTGATTTCCCAGATGAATCTCCCAAGAAGTTGTATGCATTTTTACTTTTCCTCCTGTTCTTTTCTTTTATTTAGTCTGTGCATTTAACCAACTACTACATAACAGATCAGGTTTGTTCATTTCCCAAAGGGTTTTTTTCCTTCCCTGCTGTCTGCAAGGTACTTACCCTAATACTGATTATGCAGAGAAGATGACTTACAGAAAAGGACTGTGTGCCAGTGTTATCATATGCTCGTATCAGCTGTACACACTAAGCAAGAAGTTAAGTTGTAAGGATAATTCAATCAAAACACTATAAGCAAGTCAGTTGGTGCTGAGGACAAGTATAGCATAAAATCCATGTGCCTGTTTGAGCAATAAGAATACACACAAGAATGAAAGAGTCACCAGTTTTCAAAGCATTTACATTCCTACCTTCCGGTCTATAAAATTAACTACAGTTCGTCTGCCTCTCTATCAGATGATCAGTTCCTTTGGGGCAGAGTTTATGTCTTTGTGAACTCTTGCCATGCCTGAAATATATTAGGCATTCAATAGGCCAGAGGTCACAGTGTGTGGCATGTGCAGAGACCAAATAAAAATTGCTGGATCAAGTTAAAGAGTCGATACAAAAATTTGCATTTCTAGCTTGCCTTGAAAAATTTAAAGTTGTACCTGGGATAAGACAGTGTTTGGCTGGAGTTGAATGAGGACTGCCAGCTTTAAATAGGGCATTCACTTATAGAAGAACACGATTTCTTTGTCTTTATCAAAAATAGGAAATCAAAGGGTAGGCCCCAAAGCCTGCATGTTTAAAAAAATGGGAGAGGGCCTCTCTGATGGCACAAGGGGTTAAGCACTGCACTATGAAGCAATCTGCAGCCTCTGCAGCATGAGTTCAATCCCCAACTGGTCAAGGCGCTACCCACATGGCTCAGCAGACCTCTCCTGACTCACTTGCTGCTCTCCTCAGCAGTGTATTTCAGTAGATCTGCCTGTTCTGCTCCCCACTCTCTCTGGTGAATCCTCTCACTTCCCACATCTCTGGCCTGTACCTAGTTCTTATATGCATAAATAAATAAATCTTTTTTAAAAAATGGGAGAGAATCAAAGCTGATACTCAGTTGGATATACTGTAAGATATACTTCAATATTGGTTTGCGAATGGCCATTGTGAGTCTAGTGTGCTGCTCTGGCCACTCTAGACTACTCCTAGAGCCCCCAAGTCACCAGCCCGTTGCCCCCAGCCCCAGCAATTCTGTTTCATCACTACAGCCAGGAGACATCCAGCTGGACAGCCCAAGCTAAAGACCACTTGGTAAATGTTTTGAATATAACCCCTGGAGAAAAACAGATGCTTATTGTTTGTTTATGTATTTGTTTATTTGTTAAATTTGTCTATACATATATTTTTTACATCGTTGTTCATTTTTGTACAATGTTTGATTTCTCCTCTCAGGTGTAATCCCCATAAAATTCCCACCACCAAGATACCAGTGACCCAAGCCATAGTCGCTTGTGCTCTTCCCTCCCTGTTCTGATCCCTCTCCTTTCCTTCCGCTGCTAAATGTCTCCGATTTAGTTTTCTTGCTAGCTTTGTTTTTGTTTTTTGTTTAAAAAAACATATTTCTTGTGAAAAGAATATCCCTAGATGTTTTAATATGGAAACAATACCAAGGGTGAGGAAAAAAATGCAACACCAATAAGAGAGGAATTTAACAGTTTCTTTAACATTTTCCTGATGCCTGTCTGGTCCACACAGCTCTGTGAACTCACGGTTCCTGCACTATTTCAGAGTTCAGTTGCACTGAAGATGCACTCTAGTTCAGCGGAGAGGGAGGTCATGTCTAGCTTTGGCAGGGAGGGAAGAAATTATTTTAAAACTATTTAATCATGTACTATTTTTATGCTTTAAGCATTTTGTAAACATCTCCTTTTAAATCTTACAAAGCCCTGGAGGGTATTACCATTTTGAAAATGACAGAATCTAAGTGCAGCGAAACCACAAACTTGCCCAGTCACAGGGGTGGGGGTGGGGAGCGTGTGTGTGTGTGTGTGTGTGTGTGTGTGTGTGTGTGTGTGAAGATTGGCCTGGAATTCAGATCTTTCAACCATTATATTTTTTTTAGAAAGTCATTAAGCAAGGCCATAGAAGATAACTTGAATCTAGAAAAGGGAAAAATAAATCTGAGAGTGTGTGGGGGTTGGGAGGGGTGAGCTACGCCTTTCTTGGCAAGAGAATGGCTGAGGCCATGATGTATGAAATTGCCAAACATGGGTGGTGGTTTAGTGATTCCACTTGTATCGTGTAATTAATAGGGTCCTGGAGAGGATCTTAAGAGATTGCATTTTATTCCTGCTCTGTTTTTGACTTTTGATGTGAAATCATGGAGTTTTAGTTAAGCTCTTCATGCCTCGATTTCCTCCATTAAAAATCATCTCTCTCACTTGTAATTGAGACTTATCTTTGATTACTATAATTTTCAAGTACTTTGAACTCCATGGACACCAATGCAATAGTTAATTGCTCAGCAAAGATCCACTCCTCTATGGGCAGAGTAGACTTTCCCACCCCGTCACGTTTAGCCATGTAACTTGCTTTTGTCAATGAGATGCTAGCAGAGATTAAGCAAGCAAAGACTTGAATTGTGCAAATGTGGTGGACTTTGCTCTCTTGGCATCTGCCAAGAACAGTGTCATGAAAAGAACACACGTTGACTAGCCTGCTGGTTCAAAGATAATGAGGGATGTGTGAGCAGACTTGGACCCAACACACTGAGCTTAAGAAAATAGGTGCCATTCCTTGAGGATCTAGCACGTTAGCTGCCAGCATTGGGTGACTAAAGGTGTCCAGTGTGAATTACAGGGAAGTGCTCCTGATAAAACCATCTGATCTTGGTGAATTCCAGGGATCACCTGCAGATGGCATTCTGATCCCCATACAACAAAATAAATTTCACTTTGATTAAAAGTATAATCTGCTTGAAAAGTTTTCTTTGGGAAACTGCTTCCCATGGGGTGTGAAGACATATAAATAAATAAGTGCATGGTGGAATCATACTTATGGGAAGTTGTTTTTGAAATTAAAGGCAAAGGAATAAATTATAAAGAAAAATATTAATTTGACTACAAAAATTTATATTGCACATAGGTTGAGAACACCACAAAATGAACAAAGAATGACAGCTATAAGAAACAATGTAAATTGAAAACAGTAAAGCAGTATTTTAAAAATACCCAAAAATGGACAACTTGGAATTCTTTACTGAATGAAAAGATATTTTTTAAACGAAGACACATAAAGACCTCAGATATACTAGATCTGAGGGAACTCACGGCAAGCAGACTCACCCCAGAAGTTAAAAGATGTCATTCAACTAGATGAAACATGAAATCAGATGGGAGACAGGATCTATACCAAAGAACAAAAAATAGCTCTAGAAAAGGTATCTATGGGTTAATATACATATTTTTAAACTTAAATCTCTTTAAATGGTGATCAACTGTTTAGAGTGAAATGTCAAAAGGAACAGTAGTAGGTTGGGAAGTGCATTAGTGACTCCAGTTTGGAAACTATAGGGTAGATTTCAGTTTTTAAGAGGGGAGAATTGAAAATTGGGAGGAAAAGATGAGACATGTCTGTGGAGATGGAATTATTTATTGAACTACTTTCTGAGGATCACATAGGCCACGTGAAGTAAGAATTTGATTAGTCTTTGCATTTAAGTGAACGGAGGCAGTGTAGTTATTTCCAATAAATTATCTCTGTGTCTTTCTATTAGAAGGCCATGGAGGATATGCCCAGACATGATACATCCTTAGAAACACTCCTTTGGACTATGAACTTCTTCTTTTTTAAGGTTTTTTTAAAAAGAATTATTTATGCATATAAGAGCTGGGGTACAGGCCAGAGGTGCAGGGGATGGGGGGGTGAGAGGATTCACCAGAGAGAGTGGGGAACAGAACAGACAGATGGACTGAAATACACTGCTGAGGGGAGCAGTGGGCGAGTCAGGAGAGATCTGCTGCACCATATGGGTTGTTCCCTGGCTGGCCAGGGATCAAACTTGTGATGCAGAGGTTGCGGACAGCTTTGTATGTTGCGTCTTAACCCCTTGCACCACCAGGGAGGCCCTGGACTGTGAACTTCTTAAGTGTTCTCCCAACTATGATATCTTGATAACATAAAGCAATGTATTCAGGGGGTTTTAAGTTCAAAGAGTATTAAAAGAAATGGAATAAAATCTGGAATGATCCTGGGTAAGATATTTGACTTATATGTGGTCAAATTTATATAGGTGGGCCATGTTATAGGTGCCTTCTTAGCTTAATGATAAACATTTGTTTTGTTACTTTAGAATCTGAATAGATTTTGAGAGCATTGGTTATTGGTATTTCCAGAATCCAGTGGCAATCAGGAGAAGTTTAATTCCTTACAAATGAAAAGAATAGTACATCTGTTTTTATAATAGTTGTTTTTTACTTGACCAGACTTAAAAAAATCAGGTGTTATTTCATCTCATTTCTGATACATTTCTCTCTCAGATTCTGGAATTTAGCATGCTGACGTGAGGTTGCCATAACTGGTCTGGAAATCCCAGACACGCTGATCCTGCTGTATTTCTAGGTACTGTGTGGGTAATCTGAAAACATTGTTTGAGGAAGGTGGGATAGGTTAAATGGAGACCTATCCCTTTGTTTTCAACTTCTTGAAGTGATTTTTTCCATTATTAATGCTGTATCCAAAAATACAGGAGAAGGTGGAATGAGCATTAAAGTTAATTTCATGGCTGGCTTCTGTTTTGTAAACGGCGCTGGCCAGCACCTTCTCTGGGGGGAGGTCTCTCCATTGTGAAGCTCCGGGGTCACATCACACCTGACTCTGGGTGTCAGCATCTGACACTGGGCTAATTTCCTGAATGAAAAGCTTTTCTTTGGTTCTATAAACTGTCACCATTTTAAGACATGTGGGACATAATTTATAAAGTACAAATGGCTATAAGGCTAGATGTTTGATCACTGTTTTCTGAGTTCTATTATTATTTTAGATGAGAACAAACACCTATATGAATGGCTAGACACAAATAATTCTATTTGTGAATTACAGTGGACTAGGAGTCCCATCTACTGTAATTGTTATTTAACATTTTAAATGGTAACTTGAGATTTAGGGAAAAAAAATCCAAATTTATTGTTTCTAAATAAACTGTTATTTTCAATTTGTGTCCAGAGAGTAGTAATAACTAATATTTGCAAAGTATAAGCTTATAAAATATTTTTTACATATTTTAATAACTATGATTTATTATGCCAAATATTGTATTAAATTAAGTCCTTGAGACACATTTTTTCCATTAATCTTCATGGCAATGCTATGAGTAAATATTACATTATCCAGATATTATCTTTAAAGAGGCTGAGAATAAAGGAATAAAAAAAGAAAAAAGGAAATGATTAGAAAAAGAATCCAGTCTGCACATCTCTTTGCAGCTTTTTACTTCAAAATGGGATTTTAGAGTCAGAGTTATCCAGTCATAATATCAGAAATCACAAAATAGGAAGGGATATTAAAGGGAACCCAAGCTAGCAAAAACTGGAAATTTATGATGATTATGGAAAAATAATTCAAATTGCAAAATGGTATGGATGAAAGCAGTCTGAATTATATCCAATTAGATTCAGGGCTTATGTTGGTCTTCATCATCTATTTCATTCATCTCTCTATGGTTTCATTTGCTAGAATTCTAATGCAATTTCACATACAGGCGTTTCCTCTCTTTTATAAGTAACAGAGTCCCTGATATTCTGGGAGGCTGAAGAGGAAGACGGTTCTGCATTTTGTTGGAATATTTAGTCCTGAAAATGGAATTCACCCTAACTACCAATTAACTTTAGGGAATTCATCTGCCTTAAGAAGATAATGTTCAGCATTTCTTTATTTACTCTTGTGGTGGGGTACCATTTTGACATATTAACCATTCACCTCTATTTTCCTCTTTCCCTTTCTCTCCATTCAAGCAGAAAGTAGGCATTGTGGGGGGAGGCCAGTACATGGTACGGCAGAAAGCACAGGAGACCAGTCTTTCTGACTTTTGTTTTCCAAAGGTCTGAATCTTTAGAGAAAGGAATTTTAACATCTAAACAGAGGGTTCTGAAGAAACAAAAAGGGAAAAAAGAATTTTCTCCAAACTGAAGACCCACACACACACCCCTTCCCAGGAAAATCTGGGCAAAGAAAAAGTCCATGAAAGAATGATTTTAAGCACAATCACCTCCATATCACATCTTCAGTTGGCCTTAATAGAATGAGGGCTCAGAATCAGAAATAATGCTGAGGTATAAATGATAGGCGGTTATATTCTAACACAATTGAATTTGTGGGTTGAGAGTCACATCTACCATACTAGATAAAAAATATGTTGTATCATATGGATGTGTTTAATTATAATGGTGTTCATCAGAGTTAAAGCAAACAAAATGGAAAACAACCTAAATATTATTTAATAAGTGATTAAACTGCTTATATGTATGAAACCAACTAACATTATGTATCAGAGTGTCTAATTATATAAATATGTTCAAAATATCCTGATACAAAAATACAAGTTATAAAATATGGAAAGAGTGATCCAATTTTGAAAGAAACACACACACATACACACACATACATATACATACATACATAGGTGTAATAAAAGAATAAACCTGAAGATCATACATTACATGAGGGGCTTTAATTTTTTCCTTCCAATTTTTCTTTAATCCCTAATGTTTGCTTTCTAAAAGCAAATATCCCTTTAATAAGAACAACATCAAAATTATAGAATAGAATGCAATCAGTTTACACTGAAAATACTACACATTACTTTTATGGAACAGGTCAGGGAGAGACTTCCACCCTATACTTCTGCTGATATGAGTGGAGTAGCCATTCCTTCACCTGATAACTTATTATTATCAAAATAACAAGACCAGAAACTGGAGAAAGAGCAAAAATATATGAAATTAAGAAACAGAAAAATGATAAAAATTAAATATGCATAAAATGGGATGGAGTAAATGGCAATTTTGGTATTTTTTTATTATAGTATCTTATATAAAGTACTTAGCAAATAGGAATCAAGACTAAAAACACACCAGGAAAGGAAAAATTGTCTAGCATTCCTGAATATGAAAAGGTCAAAGGCTTATGAACTGGATAAATTTTCTAAATAAAACACTGGTAAGTTAAAGAACTGTAACATACAGATCACTGATGTCAGAGTGAATGAGAACTTATTATAATAGGAAGGTAAGTGGAGTATCCTGTTAGAAATCAGGATAAGGAATTCTGATTTTGATTTGATAATAAGAAAGTTTACAGTTTAATAAATAATAATGTTAGCATATTTCTAGTCTACATTTGGAGGACACTAGATAAATGGATCCAAATTGTATTCTAAATGACATGTTTATGTTACGTATTAAAAGTTTGGGAATTAGTCATTACTCAGTGCTTTTCTATATTTAGAAAATATAATCAAAGTAGGTAATTTAAAATTATTCCTTATTATTTAGCACTGAAATACTTCTAGTGTCTCAACAAATCCACTTAAGATTAATGTTATAGTAATGGAAGATTAAATTGCACTGATTAAGTTCCACATATTGTAACTTCAAATCCCACTAAGAAATGCCTTTTATTATATTTGCTCTGATCAAATTGCTTTACTTTCAGTTGTTTCCTTGAAACTGAAAACATGGAATTCTTATTGACATAAAACATTAACTCTTTACATGCTCATTGTATCTTGGTCTAGTCCAGCTTTTAAAATTGTACTTACCCTTGGGAATATCACTGAGTTTATTTCTTTTAAGGATTAGTAACTTTAGAAAAGGAAGTCCATTTCTCAAGGTACTTTTGCGGTATTTCTTCCATGAGACCTTAGGACTGGGTAGGTCTGAAGAGATAGTACAAATGGCATTGTTGCTGAGGCTTAGTGTTTCCAAACCATGGAAATGTGTAAGAGGGCTTAAGGTTATTTTCAATATGCAATTGTTACTGAGGTCCAGATGTTTTATATTCCATTTGCTTTTCATATGAGGTTGTGAGAGAACCTTTAAGAAACTGGAACTTAAATCCACCGTGGTTGCTGTCTGTGATATGTCCACATGTATATTATGTTTTCCAGTAAAAGAACAACTTGTCAAAAGATATCCATCCCACTGGCACTCAGCATTGAATGAAATAATGCTTTTTCTTGATGGGTTTGTCATTGTCCCAATGAAATAAAGACTTACAACCATGGTAACGAGACTGAAACATAGGTTTTTCATAATGCCTGGAGAAATGAAAAATGGATTGACTTTTTCAAAATAACACCTAAAAACAAACAACAAATTTTAATTTACAACTTAAAATTGAGGAAAATTATCTTACTTTACCAATTTACGTGAATATTTGATTTCCTAGAAATTGAGGCAATAAAAATGTAGCTACCAAAAGGGTAAAGCTATAGTATACAATTAATTTATGGCATGTGTTAAAGAAAAAAATGTCTGATTTGTTCAGAAAAAGATATTTACTTGGATCTCACCTCTGCGTCTGCTTTTCCAGGCTCATTCACACTGCAGTCTGCTTTGGAGTGAAGGAAACCTTCCAAGATTAGACTTCCCTGCTTCCTTGCTGGTCATTCACAGAGAGCAAAGTCTATTACGTTTATCTACAACATTGTAATCAGCTGTGTAGTTCATTATGTGACAAGTCATCCGGTTACACTAAATGGTGAAACTGCATAGGTGGAAAGTTCAACTCACAGCTAGAAGAACGACAAGCTTTGTCTTTGTGGCTTCTGTGACTTCACAAATTTTTTGGAAAACATTTAGCTATATACAACATAAATAAAATGGTTACAAAAAGGATGCTTTGCCTCAGAACCATGAAGATGTAGGAAGATACAGAACCATTAGGTATGTTTATTTTGTTGAAGACTCTTGAGAAGCAACTGAAAGCCTTAAAACAAATAACTACAAATCACAATGACTAAATGTCTACACACAAATTTTTTTAAGTAGATGAAAACTTTTGTGATTTAAGAAAAATTCCATTAAAAAACCAGTGTGTACACAAATTACCACATTATTCAGTATGTAGTTTTCTGTTCTAGTAGCAACACTTTAGTTCTCATCACTGACTTGAAATACTAGAATAACTTAACTGCTTTCCTGCCACTGCCTCTTGATTTTCCTTCTGATTGATCCTGAGATTCCCAAGGATCATTTCCCTATAATACTGCTTTACTCATATCATTCCTTCAGGCAGAGTCCTCAGAGGGCTCCTTATTGCCTATAGTCCAAATCTTAGAGGTCAGCATTCAAGCATTGCATTATCTAGTTAACTGTATGAACTAGTTTGATAAGTACGAGGAGCAACAATGAGATGTGGCTTGTGTACAGTAGTAGTGTATGTATTTCTCATGCTAAAATTAGCTTTCAGTTCATTTTCAATTGCAAGTTCAATTCTCTTCCTCTCCTTAAAATTCTTTATATCCTTCCAGATCCATTTCTAATCCTCTTGCTTGAAAACCCTTTCCCCTGCTTTAGCCTTTGTCTTTGTTTTCAGAAAATTTTCAGTCAATCTTTGAGTAAATGAATGAATCTATGTTAATAATTATCAGTACATATCCTGCATTGCTACTGTTTGGCTTTGTGGCTGCTTTCAACTCCCACTAACACTATAAACTCCTGTATGTAAGAACCATGTTGTAAGAACCATGTTGTTCATGTGATAATTATATATAATACATAATAGTGTATATGCATGCATAACAAATACATATTAAAGAAATAGCTATAGATGTATCTACTTACCTAGTTTTAATAGTATGCATTATGTTAAAGGGTTAATCTCTATTTGGATGACTTAATGCATGGAACGAATGAAATTTACCACGTAACTTTTAAACCCTTGTTTCATACAAGGTCAAGTCTCCCATATTCTGAAGGGCATCTAAGCTCAGGTGCACCTCGCCATGAACTGCAAAGGTGCCCTTCAGCATGGAAGGGTGATTTATTTTTATAGTGTGCCTCTTAAGCAATACCAGAAACTGAATTTGTATAGCCAGAAAGACATGTTTCTGTATTCAAAGTTGCTATCATCATATGTACAATCATATACCAAGCTAATATAACAGTATCGGCAACAGCAAGCGAAGTCTTCATTCACAGGCACATTACTACTCAGGATTGAAAAGAAACATGGTTGAAAAACACTCTTAAGGGGACATAAAGATTTTTCATTGACCTGGTTATAAATTGAAGAGAGTTATATATTAATAGATTTGAGTTCAAAATAGCTAGTAAGGATAATGTCTTAAAGTAAAATGTATTAATCTGTAAAGAGAAATTACTTGAATACATACAAACTTGTAGATCTTAGATAAGGAGACCCTGAAATGCCAGCAAAAATTTCTGAGGAAATTAAGAACAATTAGGTAAAACATAAATCATTAAATGGCATTAAATGGCCATAATCAATGTGAAGTATGAGGAAGCAGTTAGAAATACTGGGGTGGGGGTGATGTGAAAGCAAGAAATGGGGGAAGGCAGCAGAAAAAAAAATGACAGGAGGAGCCTATTCTATAAAAGAGAGAGAAGTGAACAAGTAGACAAAACCAAACAAGCAGAAGAGGCTACTTTTTATAAGCCGTACAAAGAACACAATTATAACAGTGTTTCTAAAGGCATACCTTAGGATACTACAGTTGTTTTCAACAGTTCTCTAACAGGATCAAATGAGACAGAGATTTTAGAGGGCAGCCTTTAAGGCTCCACCTGTTGGCTCAGGGAGCCTGGTCTGTGCAAACCTTCACCCTTTCATCTCTAGACTCTGGCCTTTCACTTTGGTGACAGTGAGCACATTTCCCTGGGACACGGGGAACAGCCACTGAAGAAAGGTCTTGTGAAATGCACAGAGGGTAGGACTATCCAAACTGGAACCATACAAATTCTAACTAAAAAAATGCTAGGATTTCAGAGAGTTTACACAAGTGATGGTGTGCCATTCTCAAGCTATATTTAAATTCATCAAGTTTGTATTATTACTTTAACCATTAAAAAATTAACAGCAAACAATTGGCAGAATTTTTATTATAAACAGAGGTCATTAATAGTTATTACAAACTGAATACTGAAACTCAAATTAGCAATCCAAAACATGTATAGGTTTATTTTTATATGGCAGAATTTGTAACCTTTGTTCCTTCAACACTTTTAAGATCTATCAGCATTTGAATGGTCTCTTCCTTTTTTTCAAGTTTAGCACCATAACATTCTCACCCTTTAAAAAGAAACTCCTTCAAAATTAGGTAGAACTTCTACCTTTCATGATCAAATCATCACAATCAGTTTTGTTTTTGATAATGCAAGAATAAAAATAAGTATCTTTTTAAATAGAGCAGATTGTCTGTGGGCAGTCCCTCTTGGGGTGGCTTTGCGTTTTTCCTTCCTGCCCATTAGATGGTCTCAAATATGTTTCTTTTATTTGATGTGTCCCCATGTCATTGCAATCGACCTCTAAAGCACTGTGGTAATTTGAATAAGCAGGCATCTTCCCCCTTCTCCTAGATCCTGTCTTTGTCATCTACCTCCCCCAAGTCTGCTGCTGGTCACAACAGTGATCAATGGAGGGAAGGAAAAACAGCAGGCAGAGAAAAAGGTAACATTTTAGTTAATAAAAAAATGCCATCTGTGGTGAGATGAATAGCTTAAGTTTTACTGATAGGCAAAGTAGTTGCAGGTAAAATGGATGGTTTGTTCTTGTTCTACTTTCTAATGAATCTTCCAGGTCTACCTTTCAGTGGAAAAGCAAGTGCTACGTGTAAGGTGTCCCAAATACTATGCCTGTTACTTAGCAACAGCTATATAAAAACATCAAAATATCCTCTCATGTCAAAAGCACTTCATGGAGATGTACCAAAACAAGTATTTATCAGAGAAGTAAAAATAGATTTCATGGATTACATTCAATAAATAATACTTTGTAACATAGTGTCCTATGACTTTTGTAACAATATTTAAATTCTCAAAACAAATCTGAATAGAGCAGGCAAGTGATGTATGTAAAATTAAAAAATATACAAATTATCTGAATGAAAATTCCATTAAATGGTACTGAATATATTCAAATGGGTTCTAAATATCACCAAAAGTAACAGCACTGAAGAGGTTATAAATTTCCCTCCCTTTTTTATGTAAAAACTCTCCGTATAAGTAAGTCAATCACTATTTTAGTATACTCGAAGAGTATTCACAATCTCTAAGCTTTGAGGTTTTCTCTCAGAGAGAACTGTAACAATATAGAGTGCAAACTGGTTATTGTATTGATTTGCTTATCTACACAGTTCAAAGTGACTAAGATAGAATACTGTTGTATTAGAATGCAGTGTGGGGCCTGTGAATTATCTCTACTACCTACTTTACAACAAATATTTTGAGATCTCTGTTCCTGATACTGTGTGTCTTCATAGTGCCATAGTTCCTTTTGAGTCAATAAAAAATACATTAAAAATCAACTAGCATGAAGGCTATAGATCATTTACACTGGGATGGTAGTGATGTTGGGAGCCGAGATCAATTTTCTTACTTAAGAATTACTTGTATTAATTCCTGCATTAGCATGCTTTAGTCTACTGCTACCTGGTTCTTTTCAAGGCTTAGGACACATTAAAAAGAGTACTATTTATATGTCCCATAGGGGTAAATGCCCTCGGTCATTCCTGGGGCCAGCAGCACTTGCTTGGGGCCATGCTCCCCACTTCCCAGTGTTGGCAGGAAGACTGAGAGTATAAATACCTTAACAACCTTTTACCGTACATATTGTAGGGCCCAGTCCCATTGACTGAGAAAATAGGGTAATCCACAACAAGGTCAATTTAATCTCACTATACTTCAAAATTAGCATAAGGTAGTTCAAAATTTGATAGTGACTGATCATATTTTGGATATGATATTTATCTTTACTGACTAAGCATTTATTATTTGAGTCTTCTCTGCTTAGATAAGTTTAAGTTCATGTTTGTTCATCTATCTAGAGTTTTAAATAATTATAACTTCAATTCAGATAGTGACAGGAATGTGATATTCTGAGCAGTTACATTTAGGTTTGACTTACACCAGAATTTCAATCCCAACTCTGGAAGTCCTATGAGACATTCAATAACTCTCTTAAATTCTCTGATCTTCTGTTTACTAGTGGGTAAAACTGGGATAATAATGTCCATTCACAAAGTTGTGGTGAGAATAAGAGACATTAGACATGCAATCCTACGCAATGCCTAGCGTGTGTAAGATGCTCCATAAATGACAGCTGTAATCACTAAAAGTTACAGCTGAGATTGTTTTCATTTCTACCACATTGCGAACACTTACTATTTATCATTATTTCAAGTAAACACTCTATTTTCTTCTTCTTTGTGCAAACTAAGGAACCATAGTTTTTCTTCTCTCACATATGTAAAGTTCTTTAATGACTTCAATTGCAAGATATGAAGAATATGGATGAAAGTGAATGTAGTAAAGTCTTTCCTCTTAGAATCCAAAAGACGGAGCGTGTCACATCTATTGACAGGGTACCTTTCAATCACTTTAAGTGGGTCTATCCCCATTAGTTATCAAAAACTTTCAGAGAGTCTAAATAATTGTTGCAGTGCTTTATCTTTTAGAAAAGGAACAGTACTTTAAAAGCACTTCATTAAGGAGATTTTGATTTTACTCAACTTTTGATAATTATTTTAGAGAACTTTGAAGATCAGCACAACTTAATGAAATATAACAGAATTTGGGCTCTCTGAGAATTTCTAAATATCAAGACTATATAATAGTAGTGCTCTGCAGATAAAATAATTATGCGTTGTCACGAACTCTGTAAAAACATGATGTGCGTCGCTCTTAAAAAACAAAAGCCAAGTTTAGATGTGAGTATACTGGTGAACTCTCAGGTTCTTCTAGTAAGTGTTTCCACAGGGGTTGTCTGAGATTTGGCAGCCCATGTTCTGGCCTGTTACTTGAACTTTGAAGAGCGTCCCATCAGCACACATACACAGCTTGTAGCGCACCCACTCGCTGCTGCTAAACTGGTCTGCACTGGAGGAACTAGGTAGGCGAGTTGGGCTGACCATCACGGTTCCATTCAAGATGATGCTGTTTTCCTATTAGGAGAATAATGGCACAGTTTACTTACCCCACAAGTGGCAACTGAATAAATTTAATAAGCAAAAGTTATTGGAATACTAACTAGAAAAGGATATAGTGAGGAAGAGTAGTCTTGGCCAAAGAAGCAGCAACAAAATATAAAACCAATGTCAAGATTCAAGTAGTGACTGACCTCTTGATGATAATTCATTATGTATATCAATACACTTGTAACACATTTGATTTCTCAGTTAAAATTACGTTAAAAGTCCTAGGTGCAAATAAAATTGAGGTTGAGGAAGTCTCAGATCATTTTCATTTCAAGTTTTAACAGTTACTGATCAGTTTCTGATAATGGGGGGGGGAGTCTTTTTCTTCTGGAGGGAATGGATTTTAATTTCCAACCTTCTGCAATACCACAAATGAAGACTCAAACATGTAACTGTGAAGGCCAGGCATTCAATCGAAAGTGCCTGGAGGTTCTTTTCTTCAGGCCCACTGTTACAAGAATTTTGTACTGTAGGGCCTTAAAACCCCCTCTTTCAAGGAACTCCTAAACCTCTCCCTCCCGATTTCCTTCCCTCTCTCCTTTTCATTCATTCAACACATGATGATGAAATATCTTCCATGTTAGATGCTATTCTAGGTGCTAGGACTACATCAGTAAACACACAAGCAAAGTTCAAGTTCTCACAGTGCTGACAGTTTCATAGGGCAGGCAAACACAGGAATAGGTAAGACAAATAGGACCTCAGATGGGATAAATGCTCTGAGAAAAGTAAGTCAGAGTAAGTAGAGAAAGTCACGGTAACCAGGTTCTACTTTACACAGAATATCTGGGTACGGCCTCCCTGATGAGGCCAGAGTCCACAGGAAACTGGATGATGTGATAGAGTAAGCCAGATGGTCAACCGGGGAAGGGCACTCCAGGCAGAGAAAACAATACACACAAAAGCCTGAAGATGAAACTGTGCCTGGTGTTCGAGGAAGGTCAGAGTGGAGGCTAGTGTGGCTGAAGTCAAGAGTAACAGGACGACCGGTAGGACACAAGTGGAAGAAATAAGAAGGGAGCAGACACGTAAGGTTAGGAGTAGACTGTGCATTTTATTCTGAATTAGATTATTATTTCGAGAGAGACTGCTCCTAAGAGCAGGTGCGAAGTGTGGTAGTTTGCACCACGGAAGCTGTGGCGGTGGGCTGGTGAGAAGCAGCTGATGGTGTGCATCTTCTGAAGGGAAAGCCAGAGGGCTCTGCCTATGGACTGATGGGCATCACTTAGCCAGATCAGAGCACTGAAAGAAATGCACGCTTTGGGAAAGGAGGGAGGATTATTATTTTTTTAAACTTGTTGAGTTTGAGGTGCCTAACATACTGAAGTGGAGATGGTTAAGAAGGCAGTTGGATGTAAATCCTAGTTCAGAGGAGAGATTAATGCAGAGTTCCAAACATGAGAGTCATTGCCTTACAGCAGGAATTTAAAGCAATGACAGAAAGTTGGTTATGAAATAATGAAAATGGCCAACTATGTAGAGAGGACATGGAATAAACAGAATCAGTACAGGAACTTTCAATTTTGTTCCAATGCTGCCATCTTGTGGTCATTTAATTTTATTTTCTTTAAATGCCTAAAGTCATTTCTTAAAAGCCATTTAATTGAAAAAAATTCTAATGATTACCTTATACATTTCAAAACTGGCATGAATTACATAAAAAGTGAATTATCTTTTCAACACTGGCTTCTTTCACTGTGGAGAAATGTATGTACATATGTATCTTTCAAAGTATTTTAATATTTGTTATATTAACAGTAGGTAGAATTTTCAGGTGGGCAAAAAAAAAAAAAAAGATGGTAAATCGCTAGTGGCTATATACAAATCTGTCACATCTTATGCTTCTTTGAACTTCTAGTGCAGAAACAGCCCAGTGTGACCATTCTTCAATACTATTCTCTTGAAAAAATGGCTTCTTACTGCAGTACATGTAAAAAAGTCAGCACTGCAAACTCAGAGTCTGGAAAGAATCACATTTTATATTCATGTTAATTGTTTAGAGAGCTGAGTATGTGTTTTGGGGGGAAAAGCTGTTAATGAAAGTAAAGCAAATACGAGGTTAAATTTTTTTTAAAAAGGAGAAGAGTTATTTATTAAGTCTTTATTAGGTTTTAAGTTTGCTTTTGTCATTTAATGCTTAGTAAGACAAATTTTGTTAGCTTTAGTTAAGTAGCATATAGAAGGAGCCCAAAGGCATTCCGAAGAAATATACTTTGACCATAATGGTGAACAGGGAGGGGTGAGCGGTGGTTACAATGGGTGAAGGGGATAAAAACATACAGTCTTCCAGTTATAAAATAAATAATTCATGGGACTATAACCTAGTAACTACAGCTGATATTGCTCTTTGTAAAGTTGCTAATAGAGTAAATCTTCAAAGTTCTTATCACAAGAAAAAAAATTCTAACTCTCTATGCTAACAGATTGTGATGATCATTTCTCAATGTATACAACTATCCATTCATTATGTTGCACACCTGAAACTCAGTGAACCTCATTCCTCAGTGGGGGAAAAAATAAAAAAATAAAGAAGTTAGTGGCCAGAATGAGGCTAACATGAAAATGAATCTGCATTCCCTGGATTCTCACTGACTAATGACCAAGTAGGTTGAGGAGATAGGAAAATTCAATCTGACTTATAAATTAAAACTAAAAAACATCCACGAGAGCATCAAAAGTCATTTCTAATAAATACCACAGGATTTCTCAAGGGAAACTAAAACAAAAAATACATATGTTCTGAGAAATAAAAGAGACATTTCACTAATTGCTTTGTACCTTTCTTGTACTTCACAATCCATTTTAAACATCTTGCTAAACCAAAAGATAAACAACTACATTAGCATTTCAAATCATTGTATCCTATTCCACAGATGCATTTATGTACTCAAGATCTACTAATTCTTTAAAAATTCTTAAAAATACTCACCGCCTTGAACTCCATATTACCACCCATGTGAAATTCAATGGTTTTGCCCATAATGAATACGCCTTCATTTCCACGCACGATAGCACGTCCATCAACTTTTATATTTAGGTCACTAGTAGCGTTGCTGGTAATCTGAAAATATTTTTAAAAGTAGTGAAAAAATTTTGTAAATTAAAGTGAGAATTATTATCAGAGAGGAATAGGAACTTCAATCATGAACTATGAGTGATAAGTGTTTCATTATATTACATAGTTGTTGAGATAAAAAGAGAAGATTTGAAAATAATCACATTAGCTCATTGACAAGTGTAAAATGAATCCTTTCCATTGTTCTGAAATATAACCTTTGTAACTTTAGACATTGTAACTTTAGACATAATTCTATTCCATTAATAAGACAAAGAAAATAAATCATACCCTTTCAGTAGATGCTTTTTGAACATTCAAACTTTTCACTCCATTTGGCAAATGAAACTCATGCGTTTCATAGTCTGTGCTGAACAAGATATTTTGAGTCCTTGGGTCAAAAAACTGCATTCCAATGTCACTTGTAATAGAAGTTTTGTTCTTTTCTACACTGAGCTTTGTTGTCCCTTGCTGGAAAACAATCTTCAGAAAAACACTTAATTATGAATATGTTTCCAAAGAATACTATAGGCAAAATTCACACAGAACATTATAAAAAAATTAAAAAAGAATAGACTTCAAATAATTTTAACTGCATCTGTCTCCCCACCCCACTTACTTGGAGAGGTGAGAGCTTTAAAATGAGGGCTTGTGTGTTCACTTGCTTCTACTGCTCTGCGCCAGCACACAGGGCACATGGCCCAATGCCTAAGGCAGGCAGCAGGCAGTGAGAATACCCCCTGCAGGTCCTATTCTGTTGAAAACTCATCATAGCAGCCACTGGCATGGGCTGCAACTGACTAGATTGACGTATTCTCTTTTAGACTCCAAGAGAGTGGAGGGAATTATAACCCGGGAAGGACTTTATAAATGGTTTCCTAGTATAGAGGAAAGAGTAAACTATGTATTCTTATCACAACAGTTCTACTAGAGATTGAAATCTAGAATACCAAGAAAAGACTTAACATTGATACTGTGTAAGGCCAGTAATGTTATTGAAAATATTTATGAAATTTCTCTAAAGGACAACAGCTATTTCCAACAGCCAATTCTAGATTTTTATAAGGAATTTTTCCTAATATCCCTCAGCGAATGTGGTTACTTACAGGTTGGTTGTTTCCTGTGATGACTAAATTTTCATTTCGCCTCCCTCCTACTGTGCTCTTGTAGAGAGGATGTATAATTCCCATGTCAGATACTTGCTTAAATCGAAGCAGACCACTTTCGTGAAACTCCATGCTATCGCAACCATTTGGTCCAATGCGAATCACAGCCCAGATAACAAGGGTTATCTAAAAAAGAAAACAAGCCCCGTGCTAACCGGTAACATATACTTCCTGAAGAGTACCGCCAGCAAGAAGAGCACAACAAATAAGTGGTATTGCACTCATAAACAAAACCAACTTTGTTTTTATCAAAGTACTACAAGCAAATAGCTGAAAATAAAAGGTGCTGAAAGATCTATAATAAAAAAAAGCAGTCTCATTTCTTCTACCTTTACCACATCTCAGTCCCTAGAACCTACCATTTTTGATAATTCTAGCTATTCCACCTAGAATTTATCTCTGCATTCCTAAATAATATGTGTATCTTGTTCATGATCAGTCTTGGGTACACCAGCAATCCCTCTGACAGTATCTATCCACACATGCCAGGGGGTTTCAGATTCAATCATCAGATACAATCTTAGATTTAAAGTCATCTTTAAAAAAGCAAGTATCTTTGGAAAAGGTTATACACCAAGTCCTCGGCATCTTAGTGTAAACCAGCCTACCAGTTCCTTTTTTTCTTCGACAACAGAGATTTAGTACTATAAAATATAAAATTTTACTGCCATTAATGGGGTACAATTTTAAAATCAAGCTGAGGAGGCAAGACTAAATGCTGGAAAAGTTAACTCAAAATAGAAAGGATTGCATTTTTAGGATTACATTTTTAGGAAATAAAGTTATCTTGACAAAGATTACTGAGTTGACTCCATCAATATGAAAATTGTCTTTTTTTTTTTTAAAGATTTATTTATTTATTTATTTATTTATACAAGCAGTGGGTACAGTCAGAAGCGCGGGAGGGTGAGAGAATTCACCAGAGCCAGAGCGGGGAGCAGAACAGGCAGAAGGACTGAAGTACACTGCTGAGGGGAGCAGCGGGTGGCAGGAGAGGTCTGAGCGACATGTGGGACCCTCCTCCGGTGGCCGGGGAGCAGCCGGGGATCGAACCAGCGCTGCAGAGGCTGCGGGCAGCTTCGCAACCCAGCGCTCAACCGCTGCGCCACCAGGGAGGCCCTGAAAATTGTCTTTTAAAGGAAAAAAATCCATGAGCATTTTTTTCTAAATAAAATGAATACTTGCCAATATTAGCATACCAGATTTTTTACATATGAAATACTCACTGAAATTCAATAAACGATAAAAGATGTATAGAAAAGCAGAAAGAGGAAAAAAATTCTCCAAGATAATTAAAAAGAGCATATTCTGTATTATATACTCACAATTAAATTGATGACAGCCAGAATAAATAAGAGGATAATCACACAGATGGCTAAATTGCCCTTTCTCCCTCTCAGTCCTGTTTTATGGAGACGATCTTCATCAATGGGAATGTATCCGGCTTTGAAGTTACTATTATGCTCTTTATTAACATTCCTTCTCTCAACAGCCTTTTCACGCATGGACTTCTTTACAGGACCATTGGAACTCTGTTAAAAACAAAACACAACAGGGTTTTAACAGGATGGAACAGTTTTACCCTCTTTCTGATGTGTTAACCTCAAATTAATAAAGAAAGTTGAATTGGCTAGAGATACTTTTTCCACTAATAAACTTCAAGTCATGTTGAGTTGCAAGCTCCAAGTAAGGACATTACTGCGCTTAGAGGTGTGGTAGAGGAAAACTTCAATGTGACTATTTCGTAATAAATTTTTCCTCTCTGCTTTTAATATTCCTATTGTCAGGACAGTGTACAGTTCACTTGGGGGAAGAGTTGACACATACATCCCACTGTGGGTAATCTTGTTTTTATTAATGATTTATTTACTTGTGTGTATATATATATTTTTTAAAGATTTATTATTTATTTATTTATTTATTTATTTATTTATTTATTTATTTATTTATACAAGCACTGGTTACAGTCAGAAGCGCGGGAGGGTGAGAGAATTCACCAGAGCCAGAGCGGGGAGCAGAGCTGGCAGAAGGACCGAAGTACACTGCTGAGGGGAGCAGCGGGCACAGCAGAGAGGTATGTGCGCCATGTGGGACCCTCCTCCAGTGGCCGGGGAGCAGCTGGGGATCGAACCGGCGCTGCAGAGGCTGCAGGCAGCTTTGCAACCCAGCGCTCAATCGCTGCACCACTGGGGAGGCCCTACTTGTGTATATTTTTTTACTTATATGAGAAAAATCTGGAAAGGCTGACAACACTTTATTACTTATCGCTCCGATGAGCAGCAGCTTTCAAAGTATGGGGCAGGGAGTTCTGAGGGAGTTGCCTGGACCTCTTCAGGGATATAGAGGGTCAAAACTATTTCTTCAAAATAACACAAGATTTATTTTCCTTTTTACTCTCCATTATGAATGTATAATGGTGTTATCCAGAGGATATAGGACTATATTTGATGACATAACAGATAATGAAATGTGTACTTGTGTTTTAATTTTTTTGCTTTAATTTCTAATACAGTAAATATCAATGGATATGACTGATATAAACAAAAGCTCTATTGTATCCTCAGTAATTTTCCAGTGTAAAAAGAACCTGAGACCAAAAAGTTAGAACTTCGGACAGACTATGTTTAAATGACATTTCAGGTGATAATCTGGTAATCCTGAACTTGAACTACAAAAGGAATGCGTAGAAATGGGTATTGGCCAAGTTACCTATTTTTTTTAGCTTTGAGAAAATTCATTTATTGAATAGGCATTTATTAGGTACTTTATGCTTAATACCACAAATATCCAGGACAGAATGGATATATCCTTATATTTTGGATATTATATATCCAAAATATGTCAAAATATATCCTTATATTTTGGATATTACTCTGGACATGTGATTTGATGTATGGAATAGTTAACAATATAATAAAGTGCAGGTGTGAAAACCAACTGTCTAGACAAGCTGTGGCGCTCAATGGGAAGCAGTGAGTGTGTGGTGTGGTCAGGAAAGCCAGGAGGATCAGATCTGGCAACATAAGGAGAGTAAAGTTGGAAAAATAGGGAAGGCTATGGAAAACCTGGGACAGAGGGACACAGATTGGTCTCTATGTTTGTTCAATTAGAATTCACTGGAGGTATCTGGATATGAATGACATAAGTTCTCCAACAGGAGAAAACATTCTTTTGTCTAGAAATGTAAAAGACAAGGCGATCAACCAAGACAAAGTAGAGACGGCTACTAAAATCTTATCATGGTACAGGGATAGTAAGATGGTTGAGGGCTTACAGAAAATGAAAAGAGCAAGCATTATCATTGTGAGAAAGTGGCAGATAAAAACTAAAAATTCACAAAGCAAGAAGTCAGGGTCTGCAAAAGATAATTCAGTGAACTATCACTATTTGCAGATGATAAGATACTATACATAGAGAACCCTAAAAACTCCACAGAAAAACTAATCAAACTAATTAATCAGTTTTGTAAAGTAGCAGGATACAAATTAGCACACAAAAATCAGTAGCCTTCCTATACACAAACAATAAATCTGAAGAAGTCAAGAAAACCATCCCTTTTATTACTGAAACAAAAAAAATCAAATACTTGGGAATAAACCTAACAAAAGAGGTAAAGGACCTATACAAAGAAAACTATAAAACACTGTTAAAAGAAATAGAAGAAGACACAAAGAAGTGGAAAGACATCACCTGCTCATAGATTGGAAGAATTAACATTATCAAAATGGCCATTCTACCAAAAGCAATTTACAGATTCAATGTTATTCCAATAAAAATTCAATGACATTCTTCAAAGAAATAGAACAAACATTGATGAAATTCATATGGAGCCACCAAAAACCCCGAATGGCCAAAGCTCTCCTGAAAAAAAAAAAGAAGGGAATGGAGATGTCACACTCCTAGACTTCAAACTATACTATGAAGCTGTAATAATCAAAACTGCATCATATTGGAACAAGAACAGACACACGGACCAATGGAACGAATAGAAAATCCAGAAATAAACCCATAGATTTACGGCCAATTAATCTTTGACAAAGGAGCAAAGACTATGCAATGGAGCAAAAAAAGTTTGTTCAATAAATGGTGCTGGGAAAACTGGGTCGCTACATGCAAAAGAATGAAGCTTGACTACTACTTCACACCACGCACAAAAACCAACTCTTAATGGATTAAAGAACTAGACATAAGACCTGAAACCATAAAATATATAGAAGGAAATAAAGGCGAAACACTACGTGATATGCACATCAAAGACATCTTTACAGACACATCACCCAAAGCAGTGATAGTGAATGCAAAGATAAACATCTGGGACTACATCAAATTAAAGAGCTTCTGTACAGCAAAAGAGACAGTAATCAAAACAAAGAGATACCCCACCGATTGAGAGAAATTTTTTGCACACAACACTAATGATAAAATACTGATCACAAAAATTTACAAAAAGCTGACAAGACTCAACAAAAACAAAGTGAATAACCCAGTCAAAAAATGGGCAGAAGAGCTAAAAATAAACTTCTCCAAAGAGGAAATACAAATGGCCAACAGGCATATGAAAAAATGTTCAACATCACTTGTAATCAGGGAAATGCAAATCAAAACCAAAATTAGATACCATCTGACACCAGTGAAAATGGCACATATTAAAAAAACTAGCAACAACAAATGTTGGCAAGGATGTGGAGAAAAGGGAACTCTCTTGCACTGCTGGTGGGAGTGCAAACTGGTCCAACCACCCTGGAAAGCTTTGTGGAGATTCCTCAATCTGCTAAAGATGGAGCTTCCATATGATGCAGCAATTCCACTCCTAGGTATTTACCCAAAGAACACAGAAACATTACTTCAAAAGGGCACCTGCACCCCTATGTTTATGGTAGCACTATTTATAATAGGTAAGCTATGGAAACAACCCAAATGCCCAAAAACAGATGACTGGATCAAGAAGATGTGGTACATATACACAATGGAATATTACTCAGCAATCAAAAAAGATGAACTCATGCAATTTGCAGCTACAGGGATCATGCTCAGTGAAATAAGCCAGAAAGAAAAAGAAAAATACTGGATAGTGTCACTCATAGCAGGAATTTAGAAAACCTAAATAAGGGACCAGGAAAAAGACTAATTATAATAAAGTAAAAAAATCAACAAGCAACCATAAACCAGAGGCACACTACAGGTGGGGGAGAAGGGAGTAGGATCAAAACAAGTAGGGTGGGAGTTGTATGGGGACTATAACCAAGATGAAAATGTATACATTGTGCAAAAATGAAAAATGATGTAAAAATATATAAAACAAAGAAAAAAAGAATAACGGACTTTATCCTGGAGGTGATGGGGTACTACTGAAGATTTAAGATAGGATAGTGATATTGGACTTACAGGACAGCACATCAAACCACAAAGAGATAACTGGAATTGAAGGGCATAGAGATGAAGACATCTACATCAGGTTTCCCTACAATCCAAACGAAGGCTTGACTAAACTTTGCAATGGGGATGAAGAGAAGATTAGAGAAATTTTGAGGTAGAACAGACAGGAACTTGTGATTGATTGGATATAAGGGTGAAACACAGGGATCTAGGATGACTCCCAACTAGGACTAGCTACATAATTTGTAGAGTCCAAAATAAAAATATGAGACTCTTTGTTCAAATGTCAAGCCTGGGGCAGGAGACAACTGAACCAAGTGTGGGTCCCTTTTGAGCTCTCTCTCCTAAGCTGGCCCTGCTCCCAAGTTTCTGGCTGGGTTAACCAGATGAATGGATGGCAGTAGCTCTTTTTAGAGTAAGTATGATGCAATCTACTTTTGAACATTTTTAAGTTTGAAAGGCCTGTATAAAGATTCATTTAAGTTCATGGCTTCAGATATAAAACATAACTCTGAAGTGGAGAGTGAGGAATGATCAGATAGTCCCATTTTGTATACAGCAAGAATAGAAACTCAAGTACACCTTGCCAGGTGACAGGGCCTCCCTGGTGGTGCAGCAGGTTGAGCTCAGCACTGTAAAGCTGTCTGCAGCCCTTGCAGGGCGGGGTTCAATTCCCCGCAGGCCAGGGAGATTTCCATATGGAGTGGCAGACCTCTCCTGTCATGCCTGCTGCTCCCCTCAGCAGTGTATTTCAGTCAGTCTGCCTGTTCTGCTCCCTGCTCTGTCTCTGGTGAATCCTCTCACCCTCCTGTGCCTCTGGCCTGTACCCCAGCTCTTGTATAAAAATAAAGGAAGCTTTTTTTTTTAAAAAAAGAAACTCAAGAACAGCAATAGGTGATGTAGATGAAAAAAGAGTAATCCAAACCAGAAGCTGATAAATGAGGGAGGAAAGGTAAGGAACAATTTCATGATTTCTCACCTGTCACTCATTCATTTCTGTTTTATTTTATGTTATGACCTATAGCTTACCTGTTCTGCAGTTAAGCTAATTGCTCTGCATTTATTTGGCAGTTTGACTTTAAACTGCTTGAAGGCTGGTTTCATGTCCTCTGTTAGGTCCCTTAGAAAGACTCCGCCTGTGATATTTATCTACTAGAAAGATTTTCTGGAAACAGAATGTTGCTAACTAATATTGCAATAGGGACGTAACGATTAAGGGAGAATCATGACTATAAAAATTATTATTATTATAAACCCCCCTAGTAACCACAGATATGGATACGTATGTGTAAATACATGTATGTACATATACACGTGTCTTTGCTTGTTGGGGAGGGGAGGGGAAGCAGTGTTTTAAACGATTCTAGGTTACAAGTTTGCAATGCAGATCAGGAAATTATTGACAGAGCATTTTTAAAAGATGACTTTACTCTAACTGGACAGGAGACAGCTTTATAACGCAGACTACTCAATCTCCAAAACCCAAGTGGCAGGAGAGGCCTGGCCGGCTGCAGCTCAGGATGGCAGAAAAAGGAGCGGCTGCAAACCGACACCCGAGCAACAGCTGATCGCGCTCGGCGGGGCCGGGCGCCCGGCAGCTACCGGGGTGATGCTATTTTTACCCGCGTCTCCGCTGCCCGGTGCCGGGCGCGTCCCGGGCACGTCTCGGCGCAGGCTCCGGCTCTCCCGACCGCCTCCCGGGCCCTCCGCGCGGGCATCCCCCTGACTCCGGCCGGGGACAGCCAGGCCAGGCCGGGGGTCGCGGCTCGTCCCCTTCCCCGGCCCCGGAGCCCCCACCCGGGGACGCCACAGCGTCTGCCGGCATCCCGGGGGGCGGACAGCTCCTCCCGCCCCGCCCGGCCCGGCCCGGCGCCCCCGCCGGCCCCACCGCGCGCTCCGCCGCCGGGATCCCGGCCCCCGCCCCTCCGGGCCTCGGCGCGGCGGGGCTCACAGACCTGCTCGGCCGCAGCCGCGCTCGCCGATGCCGCCATCTTCCCGCGCCCGCCCGGCCCGCGCCGCGCCGCGCCCCCTGCGCCTGCGCCTGCGCCCTGGAGAGGCTGGAGGGCGCGGGGGGGGGGGGGCTGTTCCTCCCGCCTCTCCCCTCCTCGCCCCTCCTCTCCCCTCCTCCCTACCCACCGCTCCCGCCCAGTACCAGCCCCAGCCGCCGCCTCGCCCGGGAAAAGAGGCTCCGAGCCCGCAGGACTGCAGCCCCCGCCGCCGCCCGACCCCAGAACTGAGGCCTCGGGGCGCGTCCCCGCGGGTGCGCTCCGAACCCAAGAGGCCCCCTCCCCTCCCCTCCCCTCTCCCTCCCCTCCCCCCTCCCCTCTCCTCCCCTCCCCTCTCCTCCCCTCCCCTCCCCTCTCCTCCCCTCCCCTCCCCTCTCCTCCCCTCCCCTCCCCTCTCCTCCCCTCCCCTCCCCTCTCCTCCCCTCCCCTGCCCTGCCCCGCCCCGCCCCGCCCCGCCCCGCATCTCTCGGACGAGGGTGCGAACGGGGCGCTTTGGACTAGGCGCCCCGTGGGCGAGGACCAGGGGGCGACTGTGCGCGCAAAAGTGAACACATCGCCTTTACACAACTAAAGCCTTAGAAACGGCAAGCCCCCGGGAGGGCTGAAGCTCGCTTCAGGGATGCTGCTGAACCCGTGGCGTCGTCGGGTGCTCTTGCCTGGTGACAGTGGGGTGGGGTTTTCGTTTCCATCTGTGAGCTGGGGAACCTAACTTTACAGATACTCCCCGCACCCCAGGACGCCTTCCCCACGTGCCAGTCACTTACACTTGCACCTGTCAGGTGAGAGCAGTGGCGATGCGAGCAAGGTGTGAGGATACCTCCCTTAGCGGAAACCGCCGCTGGCAGGCACCTGTGGGGCCTTGGGTGGCCTGACTCAGCTGGAAGCACCAAGACAACTGCCAGCCAGAGCTGCCTTTCCCTGGGAACTAGCTCAGTTTTATTTTTCCATGACCGGGGCTGTTCGTCCTCTACTATACATATCAGAGGACCCCTGTGAGCTTCAGATAGTGTGGCACGTGAATGCCTCCCAGAGTTTTCCTGTCTCTCTCCGATTTTGGCTATGGTCAGTATCTAGCTTATTATGAAACTCTGACCAAAGAAGAAATATGTGTTTTCCCAATGCTGGAAGCGCTTAACTCACATCTCTAGCCTCACTCCTGCAGAGTTCGAGAAAGAGCCTGCATCTTAGGCAGGAAGAGTGTAAATTATAGGCTAGTGCTTTGGGGTCAGCAAGAATTCTCGGTTACTAGTCTGTTTCATAAACTGGGCTTGTCTGATCTTCAGCCCCGGTCTCTGGTTCTGGTACCTGTAGTCCTTCCTATTTGTCTTTTTCTTCTGCTTGGAAAGCCCTTTGTCTTGTTCTCTGGCATGCACACTCTTACTTGTCTTCCAAGAATCCATTCAAGCATCATATTCTCTCTAGAGCTTCCCCACACTTCCACAGGCAGTTTTATATACTCTCTTCCTTAACTCTGTTGCATATTAACTCTACTCCTGTTTTTTTGTGGCACTTCAGATTGCATTGTATTTTGCCTTGTTTTACTATCTGACTTCATCTAAGACAGTGAGCTCTCTCTGGAAGGTTCATGTTTTACTCATCCTTTTACCTACACTGCCTAGAACAGTACTGAACTTTAACAAATTTTAGAAATCTGATATTCCCGTTTCTAAGACCAGACTTTGATTTTACCAACTTCTAACCCACCTACCAACTTCTCACACACATAGGTGGTAAGACACCTGATAATTGATTATCTTGAGGGCAAATTCTTATGGAAATTTCCCCCAGAAGTCAGGTGGCACTCAGGGAGTTAGAGAGAGAAAATGATTTGTCAGACCAGCAGGCTTAGTGGGATAACTCCCCAAAAGTCTGAGCCCCGAATTGCAGGATTGGTAAGGTATTATACAGTTTATTGGCAGAAGCTTGTTACCCCATCCATCACAGACTTTCTTGATTGTTTGGGAAGGGGGTCAGGGTAGCCATAGCTACTACTGCAGGCAAGCAGCACACCTCAGGAACTTTCTGCTCCAGCAAACAGCAGAATCCAAGCAGCAGACTCAAAGCAGCAGACTTAGCAACTAACTGTTTCAAATTGCCGGTTTGGCTATCTGGGGGAAAAAGTTTCTTAGATTCCTCATTGCTGAGCTCCTCTCTCTGACAGGAAACCTCAGTGTTCTGGATGCTGATTACTGTAGTCTTTAAAGAGATCCAATTCATTCAAATGACCAGATTGTTAATGCAGGTCATTCCCAGATGCATTATCTTCAAGCATTTTCCCCTGGAAGGATAATTAAGAGTTCGAATTGCTCCTGACAGTGTCTCCAGTCCTCCCAGTCCTATGAGGTGGATCATATCATTCCCATTTTACAAATGAAGAAATTTAGGATGATAGACAAGTATTGAAAAGCCAGGATCGAATGTAGTTCCACTTGACTAGTCTCTGCTTTTTCTATCACATAAAACCTTTAATTCTGCATCTCCTTTTGCCTGTGACATATTATTAGCATAGAATTACAAAGCAGATTTCCCCAAGTGTAAAGTGCCAGTCATTTGTATAACAGTTATCCCTTCAATCACTTTATAATGCATTAAATAGCATCCCTCAAAAAGATACATTTAAGTCATACTTAGGTATCTGTGAATGTGGTGGTATCTGGAATAGGGTCTTTGCCGATCTAATTAAGTTAAAGATGTCAAGATGAGACACCTTGTATCTAGGGTGGGTCTTAAATGTAATGACTGGTCACCTTATAAGAAAAGGAGAGGACAAGACAGACACCTAGAGGAGATGAGACAGAGATTGGAGTGGGTATCTACAAGGCAAGAAAAGCCAGGACTTGTCACCAGAAGCTAGGAGAGATGCTTGGAAGAGCTCCTCCCTCAGAACCTCCAGAAGAACACACCTGGTTGATTTCTGACTTCTAGCTTCCAGAACTGTGAGAGAATTAATTTCTGTTGTTTGAAGACACCAAGTTTGTAGTAGTTTGTTATGGCAGCCTTTGAAAACTAATATGCACTTGAAAGTCAACACATTCAAACATTGAACCCAGAATCTTCCCCCCGCCCCGCCCCCGCCGCCGTCTGTCTTTGTGTTTCCGTTGAATGACGCTGCCATTCCATCAGAAACCTCAAAGTCATTCTGTAATATTTCAAGTGTGATCTTTCTGATGAATGTCACTCCTCACCTTGAGTTTAAAATCCTTCACTGCCTTCCATGATAAAAATTAAACTCCTTGTATTAGCACATAGGCCTTACTTTCTGGTTCCTGTCTACCTCTTTCTAACCATCTTCCCTGCCCCTTCCACACATTCATTCTTTTTTTTTTTTTTTTAGGATGAATTTAGACATTTATTCCAATGCTTTTACTCCTTAACACACTACCTTATGAAATTACCTTTTTTTTTTGTTTTTTGTTTTTTTTAAATAATAAATTTTATTTTTATATTCCCCATACAATTGCAACCCCCCCATTCTGATCCCAATCCCTCCCCTCCCGCCCCCCACCCCCTCAAAAGTGTCTCTGTTTCATAGTTTTTTGTTGATTTTGATTTTCACTTTCTTATAGTTATATTCATTTTCCTGGTCCCTTATTTAAGTTTTCTAGATTCCTGCTATGAGTGAGACCATCCGGTATTTTTCTTTTTCTTTTTGGCTTATTTTGCTGAGCATGATCCCTTCCAGCACCATCCATGTTGCTGCAAATTGCATGTGTTTATCTTTTTTGAATGCTGAGTAATATTCCATGGTGTATATGTACCACATCTTCTTGATCCAGTCATCTATTTTTGGGCATTTGGGCTGTTTCCAAAGCTTAGCTATTGTAAATAGTGCTGCTATAAACATAGGGGTGCAGGTGCTCTTTGGAATTGATGTTTCTGTGTCCTTTGGGTAAATACCTAGGAGTGGAATTGGTGGATCATATGGAAGCTCTATGTTTAGTAGGTCCAGAAATCTCCACACAGCTCTCCATAGTGGTTGGACCAGTTTGCACTCCCACCAACAGTGCAGAAGAGTTCCTTTTTTTCCACACCCTCGCCAACATTTGTTGTTGCTAGTTTTTTTAATATATGCCATTCTCACTGGTGTAAGATGGTATCTCATGGTAGTTTTGATTTGCATTTCCCTGATGACAAGTGATGTTGAACATTTTTTCGTATGCCTGTTGGCCATTTGCATTTCCTCTTCAGAGAAGTTTCTTTTTAGCTCTTCTGCCCATTTTTTGACTGGATTATTTTCTTGTTGTTGAGTCTCATCAGCTCTTTGCAGATTTTTGTGATCAGTCCTTTATCATTAGTGTTGGGTGCAAAAATGTTCTCCCAGTTGGTGGGGTTTCTCTTTGTTTTTGTTATTGTCTCTTTTGCTGTGCAGAAGCTCTTTAATTTGATGTAGTCCCAGCTGTTTATCTTTGCCTTCACTATCACTGCTTTGGGTGATGTGTCTGTAAAGATGTCTTTGATGTGCAAATCACGTAGTGTTTCGCCTATATTTCCTTCTATATATTTTATGGTTTCAGGTCTTATGTCTAGTTCTTTAATCCATTTTGAGTTGATTTTTGTGTATGGTGTGAGGTAGTGGTCAAGCTTCATTCTTTTGCATGTAGCAACCCAGTTTTCCCAGCACCATTTATTGAACAAACTTTCTTTGCTCCAATGCATAGTCTTTGCTCCTTTGTCAAAGATTAGTTGACCATAAATCTGTGGGTTTATTTCTGGATTTTCTATTCGATTCCATTGGTCTGTATGTCTGTTCTTGTTCCAATACCATGCAGTTTTGATGATTATGGCTTTGTAGTATAGTTTGAAGTCTGGGAGTGTGATGCCTCCATTCCCTTCTTTTTTTTTTCAGGAGAGCTTTGGCTATTTGGGGTTTTTTGTGATTCCATATGAATTTCATCAATAATTGTTCTATTTCTTTGAAGAATGACATTGAAATTTTGATTGGAATAGCATTGAATCTGTATATTGCTTTTGGTAGGATGGCCATTTTAATAATGTTTAT